TTTTGTCCTCTAGAACGGCATCGTTTGGTACGTCTTCTCGGATTACATCTTCTATTAGCGAGTAATTAGTGCGAGCTTCTGACCAGCTGTGTTTCTCCCTCTGTGATGTTTATTCTGGATATTTGCAAGGCTGAAGATGCTGTCTACAGTGATCAGCTGTTGCCTGGCACTTTTTGCCTGGGTGTTCTTATCTGTCCATATTTGGACTCCGCACGCAACAAATGATCGCAGATAAATAAATCTTAAATAAACTGAGTTGGTTGCTGAGAAGCGCATAGAACAAGTGAATGACTCGACAAGAACCTTTTAATCCGTTGGGAGGATTTGTTCAAATTTCTGCTTCATACGAAGCAGTGGTCATTATAGAAATAACATGAAAGGGAGAGTTAATAAGTCCATAACATGAGGCCAAAATTTTACGCCCTTCAAAGCTGTAAAGAAGGTGGTGGGATGGAAGAAATGTTATGCTGAATTTTATGGGCTAGTACTCTATAATACAAAAATGTCCCTAAAGGTAACAGTTTTTTTCAATTAAAGATTAGTTGGCTTGTGCAAAAAGACAATTTTAAAGTTGGACTTGAATTTAAACCATGTAAGCGCAGTTCGGAACCGTCCCTGTATGTATTTAAGGCAGAATCTTTGTAGTCCTGACGTAATCAGTTGTTTTCTGAGCGCAGACTATGATTGGTGTGAGAGATCAGCTTAAACTTTATTTTTCAGCACAGGAGTCTTAGACTTTTCTCTGCAGTTTTCTCATTAAGACACTTTATGAACTGCATCGCATGTTTCTTGATTGCCATGCTTTAGGAAGTTAGTGGATTGCATTTTTTCAACTATGCATACTAGAGTATGGAATTTTTGAAATCTCTTCTAGCACTCCTAGAAGGGATCCAAAAACTTCCTATTTGCGACTGATCTGTCGTTCTCTTTCGAGACTTCATGGTGTTATTGTACAACTTCAGCTAAGTCCTAACTACGACTCCTGCATATTTGATATGGGGGTTGCACGCCGCGTGTGCTTCCTGTATGTCTCGTTTCCCGTAATTGCACTCTACCACGCCAATCTTCGTTTCATCATAACGCACGCTTGCTTAATAACACGTAATAGAACTCAGCGAGAGATGGACATTTTCGAATTGCGCATACTCTACCACACTCGATTCATCCATGCGCTTCAAACATCAGCAGGGTTGATGATGTGAGTGGCGACAAGCTACATTGACGTGAGAGCATCTATTACATCCTGTAGTTGACACCGGTGGCGTATTGGGCGAGCTGACCTCGAACGGATTGTAATCCGAACTGGAGCTACGATCACTCTGCTGCCACATCCTCTTGAGAGGATTATAGAGGCTGTATCTGGTCCACAACACCACACCTGTGCGATACGAAACCATCGACGAAGCCGAATAGCCTCATCGTCATTCAGTTAATGACAATTCATTCAGTTAATGACAATCGGCAAGGTGCCACGTTTCCGCGAGTTCCCCAAATTAATCTGATGTTTTAATGTCCAGTTCAAGGATTTGTGAACCCCTTTAAGGCCTTAGCTTCAAGACCCATTCGTCTTCTACGATGTCACAAACAATTTGCGAAAATTACGCAAGCCATTGCCAATGGCTGCGGTTCACAAATCCTAAGCCATCACAAGTGCCTGGATAAGCAGTGTGGGAGGTTTAGGAGGATTTCCGGTGGCAGAGTGATTAGCACCATGGTTGACATTGTGGTCGAATCGAGGTTACGCCATCGCGATATCAGCTGAGGGAATCGAGTCGCTGCCCACTAGATAGCCGATGAGGACGTGGGAGAGACAGCAGATGGCAGATTGGCAGAACCATAGTAGAAAGTGGAGCAAAAAATACTTCTGCTGACTCGAGTAATCAACGGGGTAGTTTATTTCGATAATCGCCCGATTGCATCATTTGCTGATAAGCTTCATAGGTATTCATAAGCCGTTCTGGCGACAAGATACAAAAACCTGGCGCCATCTATCATTTTTGCAAGCGAAAAACACTTGTGCTATGAAGTTATTCGATGCTTGCTGGCTTTAAAGGCGCATAACATATAACAAACGTTTCTTTTTTTTTTCAAAGAACTCAAAACTTTTGAGAGGTTCGACAAGTCAAATCTTGAATAGAAATAGGGACCACTACTCGGCGATTGAATATTATGGATGATTGGATGCGCTAATCGAGTGTCCAGATATACGACGATAAGCCGTCGGCCCATGCAGCTTCCCCTTCAATCCACGCTCCACTCGCAGCCTCCAATTTGCATCCAAATTTAATACGGAAATAGCAAGTGGCATGCGGACGACGACCCGACTACACACAATGCACACGATAAGAGCAAGTGAAGTGCGCGGAAGGGAGAACATTGTCACACCATGTCCCTTTTTTAGATATTTCAATTGGACTGATCATGCTGTGTTTTTTGAGGAGTAAACAAACGCAAAACGA